TGCTTGTCCTCTGCAGACAAACGTGGGCAGAGGGCTGGTCTAACCCTAAGTCCTGGAGGAGGAAAACCAACCCTGTGTCAGCTCTAATGATCAGTGTGATGTCCATCCATGTGGGAAACTGTTCCCAGAGATCATTATAACTGACAGCTTGACTTTTGCCAATATTTCCATAACTGCTCCCCAGTCTCTCAGCCAGCCCTGGTGTTCCAAGGGCAGCCAGGTCTTGCAGCACCTTTGGAAAGCAGCTCAGAGGGGCAGAGGGCAGATTTTAGCAGGGCCTTGGGGTGTTCTCCTCCCTGGACCTTTCTTTCCAGGGGAAGTACAACTCTGCAGAGAAGCTGCCAGCTAACCCTAGTGTACATTCCCTGGCTCCAGGACCCCTGGGCACAATATTTGAGCGAATGTGGAAGAAATCTGCATGAAGCTCCTACTGATTAGCCCTTCTGTCACCTGTTTCCTTAATATACTTTTTTTTTTTTTTTTTTAAATCAGTTCCTACTTTCCCTCTTTCTGTAAGCACTATGCTCAGCAGTGGCACAAATCAAAGCCATAATCATTTGGGGCCAGGATTATTACAGTTGCAGGCAGCAGAGGACTCATGAGCACCTTTTGTGGCTATTGGGGTGCAGCGTTACAGACATTTGAGTGCAGAATAAATAAATAGGCTGCAGCACAGAAAAGAAAGGGGCTTTTGAGGAGAGCAGTGACTGTGGCAGGAAATGGGCCCGTGGGTGGTGAGCCAGCAGCCACTGGTGACAGTGACTCTCACATGCAGAAGGTGAAGGAGCGGCTGCTGTGTCATGCCATCGTGGGGAAGGAGAAGAGAAAGAAGCAGATAATGCAAGTGGATGTCAGCTGCGAGTTCATTTTTCCCCTCGTGCAAATATCTTCCAGAGAAATCATGTTCCGTGTGGAGAAGGTAAGTCTCTGGATTGCATCCTTTCATGGCATTTAATGGCATGGCTGTTAAATCAGCTGGAAGGGTTAGAAACTATTAGAAAGAGTAAATAGAGATGTATGCACTTCTGGGGTTGAAAAATGTGAAATGCATCGGAAGGGGAAGGAGGTCTGTGGCCACTTGAGGTTGTTTTTCCTTGTCTCCTGTATCTCTAGTCGCCCAGTGATGTCCTGACTCTCCTATATAAGCCTCTGTCTTTAAAAAACAACTGTTCCCTGCCACTCAGCATTGTGCTGGACTTGAAGAAGCCATTCCTAATCTGTGATGTGGACCAGCAGCCCCTCCCTGAAGATGCTCAGGTGAACAGCCAGGGACCTTCCTGCTGGTGGGGTTTGAAGAGGGAGGGGTGTGGTGGGAGGTCCTCAAGTCGAGAAGTTCTTTCTGTAGAGTCAGCAGTGGACTGGCTTGAACTGAATCAGCAGAGCTGCTGAAGGAAGCAAAATCTCACCCGAATTGGGAAGACCCATCCTGGCTCTAAGACACAGGGAGCAGACAACTAGGTCTGGGCAAGCCATCCAGTCTCCTGGAAAGCATCCCAGCTCTCCAGCAGCCATCCCCTTATATTGCTGCCAAGCACAGAAACATGAGCCTGAGAGAATCTTGGACAAGAGTGTGATGCTCACAGTCAGACCCTCACCATAAAGATTAATACTCTTCATCTCCTTGCAGCCCATAAAACTGGACAACGGGGAGAAACTTCATCTCCACATCCAGTTTAACCCAGCTTATAAAAAGGATTTGAATAGCTGGGTAGCAGAGAAGACACTGACCATGAGGTTCATGGAGCATCCCCATGAGGAGCAGATCACCATTCGGGGAGAAGTCCACTTCCCAAACCTGCATATCCAGACCAAGGCCCTGGACTTTGGCTACATCATGAATGGCACTGAGAAAGTGGATTGTGTGGCAATGACCAATTGCAGCCCAATCCCTGTCCACTACCACTGGTCCTTCCAGACAGACAGCCAGGTGAACACCATAAGGTAGGTGCTCCTTTGCTTGGAGCTCTTCTTCCTGGGGTCCTGTTTGTGCTTTGCGAGGACCGAGGCTGTTTGCCTGGGATCTGACAAAGTGCTTTTGAGATTTCCTTGTGGAAATAACAACAACCAGCCGTGGTCAGGCTGGATGCTCAGGGAATAGGTGTTCTCCACCAGTTGGACACTGGGCTGGAGACAATGTCCTCCAGCCAAACTGGGACTGTAAGACACTCCCAACCCTTTTTGCATAGCAGTAACCTGGAGTCCTGCTTTACCTCTGGAGCTACAAAGCCATGCTTAGGCACTTGGACAAGCAGATCTGTAATGTGACCTCTTTTCCTTCCCTGCCAACCCAATTTGTTGTCCTTTCCTACAAAGAACCTACACAGGTGCTGCCACCAGAGTGCAGTGCTGCTGTCCCAGTCTCTTCCTGCTGCTTTGCTGTAGCTCCCATAGGGGTTTCCCCTGGGAAGGAAAGCTGGTGGGGAAAGCTGCTTTCTCAGACCTCTGTGGCCTGAGGCAAAGACCACCTTGGTGAAGGCAGTTTTCAGCTGTTAAACCACACATCACCTTCACAAACCAGCTCTTTGGTGTTTGACAGTGATCAGCAGGTTCTGCTGGGGCTCTAGGGGTGGCTGTAGCTGTTGGTGGGAGCACTTGTCTGAACATCCCTGGGAAGCAGGGCCATACAAGGCTGGGCTGGGCTTTCCAAGCCCAAGTGCAATCCTGCAATCCTGCTGGGGCACATCTGTAAACACACTTCTGGCAGTTCCTCCTGCTGTGACCTGTGCAGAGTGCAGAAGTCTGGTCTGGGCAGTTTTTATTAGAGAAGCAAACGGTTTCTCCATAATGCCCCAGAAAACTGAGCCCAGTTAACCACTGGGCATTGAAGTGCTGCAGTTGCAAAGAATAGAGCTTATCCAGAAACAGTTTTGTTTAGGGAACTGGGACCTGGCTCAGAGGAGACAACCTCTTGGGAGCTGACATGTTATTTTCCAGGTTCAACCCTTCACCACCTAAATTCAAACCCAAACCACCAAAGAAGGAGAGAGACTCTTTGAAGTACTCAGTGTTGCCAAGGAGGCAGTTCAGTGCTGAAAGTGTGGAGGAGCCAACTAAAGGCCTTGAAGCAGTGCAGGATCCTGCCCAACAGCCAGCAGGTTCAGAGGATGTCCTGGGAGCAGTGCAGGATCCTACCCAACAGCCAGCAGGTTCAGAGGACTCTTTGGGAGCAGAGCAGGATCCTGCCCAACAGTCAGCAGGTTCAGAGGATGTCCTGGGAGCAGTGCAGGATCCTGCCCAACAGTCAGCAAGTTCAGAGGATGTCCTGGGAGCAGTGCAGGATCCTGCCCAACAGCCAGCAGGTTCAGAGGAATCCCTGGTAGCAAAGGTAGATTATCTTGTGCACCTACTGCTTGTGTTGCCTCCCAAACTTGCCCCTGTAAAACTGTGCTCATGCCAACCTCCTTTTTTGATGTCCTGCTGTCATGTGCCCTGAGAGTGGGCTGAGCAGCAGGGCCAGTGGCTGGAAGTGGGGCATCTGGGGAGGGACAAACAGGATAGTTTTGCCCAGAGAAACCCACTCAGATCCTGGAATGGTTTGGCCTGGAAGGGCCCTTGCTTTTGCTGGGAAGGGACCTTCAAAGATCCTGTAGTTCCAGCTCCCTCTGCCTGAGTCCTGGGGGTATCCAGTTCCCTTGTGCACACTTGCATGTAGGAAGTGCAGACAGAGCCTGTGTCTCATCTGTGGGCGGGCTTGGACCAGCACTCCACTGACAGCACAGACATACCCACACTGGATCTGTGCCCCGGTCCCATCTCAGCTGCTCCTGGTGTGGTGGGGTGGTGGAACCTGCAGCAGAGCAATCTTGCTCAGACAGTGCTCACTGCAGCCCATGGTGCTTTTTTTCCAGGTGCTGCCATCCACTGCTGTGGAGCCTCTGAGCCTGGAGACCATGAAGGGATTGAGGCAATTCATGGGGGTGGAGAACCTTGCCTTGAGAATGGAAGAGGTAAGTGGGAATCTGTCTCACTTCCATCTTTCCAGTGTGGAAAGCAGTTCTGTAGCCCTCACTCCCACTGGCATTGCCCACAGAGAGGCCTCAATCCTTTCAAGCCCATCACAAAATGCTGCTGGAGCAACTGGTCGCTGGAGAGGCCACGTGGGACAATTTACATATCCCTTGGACATAGGGCTGCCCAAGGATGCTCCCCTTGTACCTCATCGGGTGGTTGACTGGAAATTTTTGCAGGAGCTTTTGCTGTAGCACCTTGAGGGAGCAGCATGTAAATCAGAGAGAGAGGGAAAAGCCTCAGGAGTCAGATAAGCCAAGCTGGAGTCCTCCCCCCAGCTCCAAGGGCTTTCACCTCCAACTCTCCTGTATTTCTGGAGGCAGTAAAATTGTTTTCAAAGGCAGGTTCTGCAGTAGAGAATATCTTGGCTGCCAGGAGACATCCTAATTTACTTTAATGTCGTGTATTAATCAATGCATTGATCAGCGAGTATGGAAGAAGATTTCCCCTACGGTTCCTCCACTGGTCATGGATGCAGGATGAGATTAGGATGATTCCAGCTGTCTTTAAGAAAGAGGCCCCTCCAGTTACCTCCGTACTTTGCTCCAATCCACAGCTGCTCTTCTGCACCCATTTCCATGCTCAGCATCTCGATCCCTCCTCCCCTCCTGCAGGTTTTCGATGTCCAGCCGTTGTTCGGTGTGCTGCAGCCAGGTGAGAGCCAGCACGTGCTCTTCACCTTCTTTGGCCACCCCAACATCGTCGCCCGTGTCACGGCGCTGTGCCACGTGGAGGGAGGCCCCACCTACGAGGTGGAGCTGAGTGGGGGGACTTCGGACCTCAGCTACCACCTGGACACCTATGACATCGACTTTGGGCTGCAGGTACCACCCCCTTCTCCTGGCAGAGCTGCTGCCTTGGAACCATCACCAGTGGGTTGCTGCCCACCCCAGCCCAGGGCTCTCTCCCCTTCCCAGCTCCTTTGTTGGCTCTGGGCCCTGGAAAGGACAGCCTTTGAGGGATACATCCAGCATCCAAGCTGGTTGTTAATGGCCATCTCCGCCTCACACACACACCCACCACCAATGCTGGGAATTCCTCCTCTTTGAGGGACCTAACACTGCCTCCTGAGGCAGGCAGGATCCCAGTGGGGATGTCCAGAGGGACATGTCCCTGAGACATCCCTCTGCTGATTCTCTTCTAAAGCCTGACCTCCAAGGGGATGCTCTCCTCTAATGCTCTTGCTTAATCTACAAAATAATTCAGGGAGGAAGTTGGGCTTCCAGTCACTGTAGCTGGAGAGAATATCCCAGAATAATCCTCACTTTACTTCTTTCCAGCTAAAAGCCCACAGATATTTCCAGCTGCTGGCCCTGTCTGTGTTGCCCCTGTGTGTCTCCCTTTTTTCCTGTCAATGTATTTGCTTGCCAATACTTGCATGCAGGTGCCTTTTCCTCTGGAACACCTCAGTGCCACCTCCATTGTTTCACCAAGCTGTTTGGTGACCCCTCAGAGTAAAGAGGGTCCTGGTTCATTTATTACAGGCCCTTACATGGTTATTACCACATCTCTGTGTGCTGCTAGAACTCCCTGCTCCTGTGCAGGGCTAAGAGGTGTCCTGTGCCTGACCTGGGCTGACTTGGGATGGTCAAGTGCTTGTATCTCCTCCCCAGTCCCTGCTCTTGTGTTGTGGCTGTTTGCTTCCAACTCCATGAAAAAGGAAGGAGATTCCCAGCAGCACACTGGTATCTGTACCTTCCCACTCCTCTGTCCTCTCTCCAGCTGTTTAACGAAGTCATCCAAGCAGAGGTCACCCTGCAGAACACCGGGGTGATTGGATTCAACTACAAGGTGCTAGACCCCAGCACTGCCAGGGCAGACAGCCCTCTGCCTGGTGAGCCCGTGGTCGTGCCCAGCACGGTGAGTAGCACAAGTGATTGGCCCCAGCCCTGTGTCAGGTGGCCCAGGAGAGGGTTAAAGTGAAAAAGAAGGGGTAAAAAACCAACCAGACCCAGCCTTGAGAGGCAGGGCTGAAAGCAATTGCTGCTGGGGTTAGAAAAGGTCAAGCAAGTGCTCTCCTAATAGACTCCCCTGTGGCCTTGGCCAGCAGGTGCCAGCAGTGGGAGACACAAGCACATCAGTCACTCCTTGGACCTGGACTGCTGAGCTCTCTGGCTGTGCTGGCACTGGAGCTGGGTGGTGCCAGCTCTTCTGAGGGTCACCTCACCCAGGCTGTGTGATCAGACAGGACTTACTCCTTGTCCCTGCTTCCTCTCTGCCAGCACTATGCAGCAATTTACATATTCCTTGCTTTGGCTTGAAGCTCCTTTGCCAGAAGTTCCCATAGCCCCTGTGCTGGTTCCTCACTCCCTCCAGCTTTGCTGCTCTGCAGCAGCTCTGTGGGGCAGTGAGGGGGCCAGGGAGGTGAGGGGCTGGAAGAGAAAGGAGAGGAGTTTGCAGCATCCCACCATCCCAGCTTCTTCGTCATGCCTGGATGCCTTTGAGCTTAAGCAGCCTTCCTGCTGACTTTGGCCCTCTTTGGAATAAGAAGTGAAAGCCAAATCGCTTTCTCATTGTTTCCTGCCTGCCTCCTCCAAGGGATGACACACTGATGCCCCCTTCCTGCCAGCATCCGAAGACACAGCTCAGCGTGGCCCTGTGCAGGCAGCTGCTGTAGCAGCACCCCGGGTGCTGGCAGCTTGGCAGGGCTCCCTGGGGCTGCAGCCGTGTTGGGTGCTGGAGTGAGAGCCCAGGGGACCGAGTGGCAGGATCTGTCCCGCTCAGCTGCTTCTCCCAGCAGTGGGAATGGGACTGGGGAGCCGTCCAGCCCAGCGTGCAGGGGTGAGCCAAGGAAAGCTGCAGCTGTGTCCTGTCACCCAGAGACAGGTTTGCCCTCAACCTGGCTGGTGTGAGCCGAGCCTGGGGCTTGGACAGCACTTTTGGAAGCCCTTCCCAGCATCACCCTCTTCCCTAGATCTCATCCTAGTCTCTCCTCCTGTGCTTCCAGAAATATATGTTTGCAGGTCACTGTGTAACCACAAAGGTGGTTTTGTCGGGTTCATTAATAAGGGGTCAGGCCCTTTGACACCAACCTGGAACCACTGATGTGCTGTGACAGGAGCTGCTGGCCCTGCTGAGTGCAGGCAACTTCACTCCTCTTCCACAGTGCCTGGCAAAAGAGCTTTTACCCGTTGAGCCTGGCTCTTGCTGGCAGAGGGCAAACCCCGTTAGCAGCAGAGCCGAGCTCACGCTGAGCACAGGGCAGGCTCTGCTGGGGGTGCAGCCTTAGGAGCCCTCAGAAGGACACACTGCAGCCTTGCCTTGGAGGCTCGAGGTTTTGGGTACAAGGAAGTTAGAAGGTGATGTGGTCTGACGTTTTCTTCCAGATGTGAAAATGTCTTCTCAGTCTGTCTGTCACCTGAGCCATCCCCCATCAAACCCTCTCTGATGAATTCCTTCCCTCTCTCCTCCCATCCCCTGCAGGGTTACATTGAACCTGGGAAGGAGCAAGTGTTGAAAGTCTATTACCTGCCAGGAGAACTAGGAGTCTTCTGCAGCACTCTCCAGATCCAAGTGGGTCACCTGGAACCAGCAGAAATCTCCCTGAAAGGAGAGGGAACCTTTCTTAGGATCTCTTTGGACCTGCCCTGGATTGTCAAAGGTGAGCACTGCCTGTCTGCTCATCAGAAAGGCCTCCTGGGTTTTTTCCCCCTTTTTTTCCCCCTGTAGGGCAGCACACACCCATCTCTACTAAGCCTGGAGGTTGCAAGGCTGCCAGACCAACACTCGCCCCTCTGGTTGCTTCCTGAGTCTTGAGCAGAGTAGCCCATGTGGGCTTTGTCCCAGTAACCATCCTGCAGATCTTGCCAGCACATCTGTCAGAGGCCTGAAAAGATGATGGCTAGACAGAAAACCCTGGGAAAACTGCAAGAGAGCCTGGCAAGGCTTTTGGCAGGGTTGAATTTGCATGATATTTCAGGGGATGAGATGCTCCTCTGTGAGGAGGATAATGGCTGAGAGTGAAGATGAGGATTTAGAGAGGAGCAGCAGCATCCACTTTCCATAGATGGCTTGAGGGGTTTGTTTCTGGGAGAGGCCAGTGTTGGAGAAGTGGGACTTCCCAGCTTAAATGGGTTTGGCAATGCACCCACACTTCTATTTGTGGATAATTTTTTTCCTTCAGGGCATGAAATATTTGAGAAGATACTGAAAGAGATAAAAGAAAATGTGCAAGAAGACAGGCAGAGTGATGAAGCAGATGTTCTGTCAGAGCCTGCATCCGTAGAGCCATCCATGGATGACCCTGGCATCGAGGAGCAGCAGCATCCACTTGCCCCAGGTGACTTGAGGGGTTTGTTTCTGGGAGAGGCCAGTGTTGGGGAAGTGGGACTTCCCACCTTAAATGGGTTTGGCAATGCACCCATGCTTCTATTTGTGGGTAATTTTTTTCCTTCAGGAAACGAGGAGATACTGAAAGAGACAATAGAAAAAGAGGAAGAAGAGACTCAGATCGATGAAGAAGTTGCTATCGAGGAGGCGTCCGAGGAATCGTCCGAGGAATCGTCTGAGGAATCGTCTGAGGAGTCATCTGAGGAGTCATCTGAGGAGTCATCCACAGAGTCATCCACGGAATTGTCCACAGAGCCATCCGAGGAGCCATCCGAGGAGCCATCTGAGGAGCCATCCGAGGAGCCATCCGAGGAGCCATCTGAGGAGACATCCAAGGAGCCACCTGAGGAGCCATCCAAGGACCCACCTGAGGAGACATCCAAGGTGCCATCTGAGAAGCCATCCAAGGTGCCATCTGAGAAGCCATCCAAGGTGCCATCTGAGAAGACATCCATGGTGCCATCCATGGCTGCCCGTGACACTGACTCTGACACTGACGATGGCATCGTGGTAAGAACAGCTGCTGCCCTGATTGGCACATGCCACCCTCTCCATGTGACCTGAGCCCCTTGCACCCCACAGCAGCTTCCTGGTGCCCTGCTGGCACTTGGGACCTCCCTGCCCACATCTGGCTGTGACTGTTTGTCAGCTCAGCATTGGCCCAGGGGCTGCCCACCTTTGGTCGTGGTCCCTCCTGGAGCTGCACCAGCTTCCTGGCTATTCCAGGGAGAGATCCTGAAGGCCATGCTCAAGGGATGGAGTTGATGGTGCTTTGAAGAAAATGCAGGTCACTGCTGGGGAGTTTGTTGCTCCCAACCCAAGCCCTGCCAGATTTACAGACCTTAACAGCAGCCTGACACAGCCTGACTGTGCCCTGGGGCTGTGCTGGTAGTGCTCATCTCCAAGAGACTTGGTTGTGGTTCCCTTTCCAAGAGAGCTTTTATCCAAGCTGCTTTGGCACTGGTTGGGGGCAGGCAAATATCTGGAGCTCTGGAAGGTTCCTGGCTTGTCTGTCTGTCTGGGCAGATCAGTTTTTCTAGCAGTGGCCGGGCAGGCAGAGATGCTGGAGTTAGTTCCCTGGAGATAAGGTCCTGGCTCAGAGAGCAGGGGGTGTCACAGACACTGAGCAGCCAGACAGGAGGACCCCATGCCCCCTCTCAACAAGAGCAGTGTGGGATCCTCTTTCAGATACAAGCCTGGGACTTGGGACAAACCCTTGCCAACCAGCCACTGCCTTCTCTTTCCTCAGTGGGACACTTGGATGCAGAGAGAGATGGAGCAGATGCTCATAAAGCAGCATGTCCTGGAGCAGCAGAGAATTGTAACCTCCCGTCCCCCAGAGCTCAGGGGCTTTGACAAGAACATTCGTCAGAAGCTTGTCCAGTGAGTAGTGACTCCAGTCCCCTATCTCCAGGTGTCCCAAGGGTAACACCCAGCAGTGCTCCCTGCTCCTGAGAGCTCCTTGTGCCTGCAGAGCTGGGAACAGCCGGGGACTTCAGAAAGGGTCCGGTCCCAATAGGTGTGACATGCTCCCTGTGAGCAGCTGAGTGTCCTCCCTTTTCCAGTGCCACGCTGAGCTTTGGAGCAGCTCAGCTCCCCCACAGGTTCTGTTCTTAGGGCTGAGCACAGACCATCAGGCCCTTCCAGGCTGCACAGACACTGTCCCTGCTGACAACTCCAAGCTGCCATCTTGATTCCAACTATCAGAGCACACTGAGCAAAAGGAGCAGGGAATCACACAGGTCACCAAACCCTTGAAAACCCTAAATCAGGTGTGGATGCTGGTGAGGTGGCAGGGCTTACCTAAGGAGCTTCCCCTTGCTCCTTCATGAGGTATCACAGGCACAGGAGGCTCCAATTCAGGAAGAAGATGCTCTGCAAAACAGATCACTGATGTGCTTTCCTTTGTGGGATTGCTCTGGGAAAGGACCCTCCTGTGAATTTTGCCAGTATTGATTACATTTATCGGTGCTGCTTTGGGGGCGATTCTGGTTGCAGAGCAGTGAAGATTTCCTGTGCAGGCAAATTTTATTCCAAGGCCCCGAAGCAATTTCAGGCTCAAGCTTTACACCAGGCTAAGCAGTTTCACTGAGACCAGTGGATGTCCAGTGGACTTATCTGCACTGGCTTTTCATATCAGAGGAGCTGTGACCAGTGTCCATTTTAAACTAATTTTATTTTCAGGTACCACTGGTAACTGATAAAACCTAGGACCTGCACTCCGTGTGACTTCCCAAAGTCATTGCCAGGCGGTCAGGCCTTGAGTTTTATGGGCTTGAGTTGAGTTTTTACAGCAGTGAACACAGAATTATCCACTTTATTCACATCTTCCATCCATGTGGACATGTATCCAGGCTGTGGTTTAAGGACTGTCTTCACTCCTCCTTCCAGGGTTGAGCTGCCCGACTACATCCTGGACATGGGCAGCGTCACTCGCTGTGACACTGAGACACACACTGTGGACATCACCAACACCGGGCCCCTCCCGGTGTCCTTCCAGATTGAGACACGTGTCCTGCAGGACAAAGGTAACCAGTGCTGGAGAGGCTTCCTATGGGCTTGAAGGAGCCGTCTCAGGTAGTGGTTTAAGCCACTAGACAAGGGGAGGGTTTTTGAGTGTTTTCCCCTCAGTGCCCCTGCTGGGAGCTTCAAAACCTGAATTCTCCTGGCCAGCCGTGCCCAGGGACCTGGCCTGCCTGTGGCTGCCCTGTGATGCTTCATTATGGTTTGCTGTGTCTAAGGGATGCTCAGGTGTCTCCTCTAAGTTGTTGACCAGGGAACAGCACAGCATGGGGGGATCTTAATTGGAAATTCTCCTTTGGAGAGCTCTGCGCAACCTTCCCTGAGGCGCCTGATGAAGGAATTGCTGGAGGTGCTCAGCTGATCCATTTTGGTTTTACCATCCAAGGTGGACCTTGGATGCTGGCTGTGAAAGCCCTTTCTCCTTGAGTGGTGGGTGACAAGTTAAAAAGAGCAGCACCTTCTCCAGAGATGCAGAATGGTCTTTCCCAGAGCTGCCAGCCAGGACACCTCTATGACCTTAGCGTGCGTGTGACACATTTCATGTTGCTTGTTTATCTCAGCTGCTTTATTTTTGTCTGTCCAAGGTTTCAGTCTGGACCTGGACCAGGTGCAGTGCCTGCCCTACTGCAACACTCAGAGGATTGAAGTGCTTTTTGACAGTACCAACTTGCCAGTTGGAGAGGTGGATGCACGCCTGCCCATCGAGGTGCCACAGCTTTTGGGGCAGGCAGCAGGTTGGGCACAGCAGCAAATGTCACCTGGACCCTCAGCTGAATTGTCTGTCCTTCTCCAGGTAACAGGAAGCTACACAGTTCACATCCATCTCTTTGCTACTGTGACTGAGCATAGCATCCAGAAAGAAGAGCCTCCTGACCTGCACAGCCCCTCACCATTGACGTGCTCTGAGAGAGGCAAGAGACGTGACGGCCGGAGATCTAAATCTGCCTTTAAAAGGTGATGCTGCAGTTGAGGTCTGTGGGTTTCAGCAGGAGCCAAGGACTCTTGGTGCACCCTTGGCTCTCACTCAAAGGTGCTTGAGAGATTTGGTTGCTGCCCCAGCGATGAGGAATGCTCGCTCTTTTTTGGTAGTGATAATCCTTGCACCAATCAGTTGTGTGACCCCTGTTTTTCCTATTGGAAAAAGGAGCCACGAGGGTTTTCAGGGGCCTGGCAGTAATGCTGAGCACAAAAAGGGGCTTTGCTGGTGTCCAACCTCCCCCCAGGGCCTCTTCTTGAGGATGCCAATGAAGGGCTCCCCTAGCATCCTGCTGCGTCTGGTAGAAGAGGTGGGAGAATTATTCCCTGTTGGGAAGTTGGAGGAGCAGCAGCCGTGCTCCCTTTCAGAGGGAGCCTTTCCTTGTGGCTCCCCACCTTCCATACTTTGAAGTTTCAGATAAACACTGCCATGAACAGATTAAAAGATTTCTGGTCCATTTGATTAAATTGCAGAGTATGTGGTGTGTTCTCTTTTGTGACTGAGAGAGGTGTTTGTATGTAAGTGTTTAGACCCACACAGTGAACAGAGAATTTAGAGTCAGTGAAGGGCCAAAGCACCAGCAAACTCTTCCTCCCTTGCTGTGTAAATAGCAAGAAGGGCAACTGAACTGGTGAACCTCCTGAGTTCCAAATGGCCTTACTCAGGATAGCTCTCATTTCTTTTCCTCGTTGGTGCATGATTCTGTGGAGCATTTCTCTCCCGTTCTGGAAAGCAGAGGTTAGCAGGAGAAATTGTTATGTTCCATATACCATACAGATATAGAAATAGGATACTGTCCTAGGGTTTGAGGAGTCTGGAGGATACGACACAGTCAAATTTGATTCTCCACGTAAGGGCAGGTTACTTATCAGGTGCTGCCCATAAAAGGTAGAGGTGGAAGTCTGTAGCAGACTGGGATATCCCTATTCCAGACAGGGTTGCCAGACCTCAGCAGAGGGCTGGAACTGAGACTGTCAGTGCTGCTGTTTCTGTCAGGATTTCTAAGGAAATTCTAGCAAAAACATAACAGGAATTCTTCCATTTGGTTGCAAACAAGATGCCACCAGTTTGAGACCAAGCCCTAATCCCAAGGAAAGAATTGTGGGTTTTCTTCTCCAACGTGTTTCACCCCAGCTCCTCCCCTTTAAAAACTCAAGTTTATGTCACCTGCTCCTCTTTAGATCTGAAACGGTGTCAAAATCCATCTTCAGGCTGATGGGAGTCAGTCCTGATGGGGAGAAGCTGCCAGGGACAGAAAGGCAAAGAGGATTTTCCAGCCCCCTTTTGCAGTCGAGGTTTGGAACACTTATTTCTGCCTCGAGGGTGTGATTGAAACCCTTGGGTCCGCAGAAAAAGTGTCTTGCAGGGGGCTACATTATGCTTTCTGTGAGTATCCTTGGGGAAAACTGCTCAGGAATGAGGAGGAGTATGAAGGGATTTGCAGCCTATTCCCAAGGACAGCGTTACCTGTGGGAATTTGCTCTCTTTTGAGCCACACAGGGTGGGTTACAAGATCACCTGGTGCCAGGGATGCCCAAAGGGATACAAACCCTTTGGAAGCCACCTCCTTGCTTCAGGGACATACAGGCTGAGGGCCAAGCCTGTGGCAGGATTTACATCCATCCACGTGCAGCATCTCCCACGCCCAGAGAAGTGGTATAGAATATGCTTTGCCCATTTCTGTACCTGTAAGGTTGGACTGACACGGTTTCTTCTTCAGGATTTTCCAAGCTGAGAGGCCAACCAAGGGTGGAGAAATGAAATCAGCCTCTAAAGAACCCAATTAACCGAGATATGAACAAATTGAGCAATAAGAACCTGGAGGACTGGCATTGGCACACCTCCTTTACCAATAAAGCAGGGAAAACAACGTCTTGTATGAGGAAATCTGTGAATGCTGAGCTGTGTACCCAGGCGTGGTGCTAATTTCATGAGATCCTGTGCAGTTTTCCTCTTCTCCCAGAAGAAGCTCTTTAGGAGGGAGAACTGAATTCTGTCCACCTCTGTGAAGCGCCTGGAGCTTTCATAGCCAGTCTCAATCACTACTTGAAGTCCCACCATGTCCCTTGCCACTGAAATTGGGTAGCTAATACTCTAAACCCGTACCATGAAGCCAATGACACCCTTATGATGGTCATGGATGACTGTCTGATACCAAATATGTTGCCTTGGTGGTGCTTTGGCCCAGATAACACTGGGGACCGTGGCAGACTAGTAGAGAGAAGGCTCTTGGTTGGGTATGAGAAGTGACAACACTGACTGTGTGGATGATTATGATTCAATTTATTGCTAATACAGTAATCTAAATAGTGTTAATGCAGTGTATAATATAAGCAGAAGAAGAAAACATCAGACCACATCACCTTCTAACCTTGTTGTGCCCAAAAGCTTAAGCCTTCCACCCTGGGGTGCACTGTGTCCCTCTGAGGGCCCTGTGACCTAAATGAAGGCTCCTGTGCCCTTACGAGTCCGCCCTGCTGCTGCTCGAGGGAGCATGGCTTTGGGCCTCCAGTGAGACCCAATCCATGCTTTTTAGACCACTTATCTTCAAACATTCAGAAATGTTTGTTTAGCATTTATTTGAAGGCCTTTTTCTACCGCCCCACACCTCCTGTGCCAACTTCTTCCACTGCAACTTCTTCCACTTCTTCCACTTACACACCCACACAGGGCCCACAGCCTTCAGGGTGGGCACCCTTCTGGCCCCCTCTTTGGGATCCAACCATATCCCAGAGGGGTATAACCCCGTCCCAGAAGGATGCAGTCCTGTCCCGGAGGGTACAATCCTGTCCCAGACGGTACAACCCTCTCTCCGTTACTCTCTAGGAACAAATCCCATCCCGTCCCCGCCCCTCCGCGCTCCGCCACGATCCCACAATGCTCCGGGGCGCCACCGCGGGCCCGGCGGCGCGCGGGCCCCTTCCCTCATTCAAATGACCCACCGCGGGCGGTGCCGCGGGGCCTGTCGGGAGTTGTAGTTCCTCCTCTCCCCTCCCGGTGCGGGTCCGGCGGCCGGCGGGACTCTCTGTCCCGGCATGCCGCGGGGCCGGGCGGAGCGGGGCGGGGCGGGAGCGCGGGCGAGGGAGGCTGAGGGGGCTCGCGCCGCGCACGGGGCCGCCGCCGCCGCCATAGTGGGAGCCGCGGGTGAGTGCGGGGGGCGCGACCGGCACCGGGACCGG